CATGTGCATAAATGATTTCGCTAGCCAGAATTTTGAGCGGATATCTATGCTGTCATGTATTCCGGCGGTCTTCTGTGTTAATGATTACGCCAGACGGAGTTTTCACATCCGCGAGTTTTTTTAAATGAGAAGAGAGCAATCTAAACTCGAGGGTCTTACCAAACGAACATGTTGCACTCGAAAAATGATTTTTGTCACGTAAGTCAGATGAACCAAGGTCTAAGCAAGCGGGGTATTTTTGGAAAACTAGACACTTTATTAAATTTAAAAAGTCAGATGTAGAAATCTGTGTGATTTCATGCCCTAAAACGCAGTACTAGCGCCTACTGGCAATCCTCTGTTTAAGTGTTGTGTTGTCCCTGCCCTTTGCGAATACTCTTAATAACTTACTGCTAAAAAGCTTTCCAAAAAGCGGATACGTTGACTGCTAAGCAAATAACATAGGACTTTTTGTATAATTTAATTTCCACTATTGCATAAGTTAGAAACGAAACCGGCGGAATATTACCAGTTTTCGCAATAACTCAGTATTTATACGGCCAAACTGTGGTATATTTACAGTCTTAGAATGGAACCTAAAAAACTAATATAATGAAAAGGCTCCAGTATAAAAAGCGGATTATTTCAATGGCAGCAGGCACATTGTCACTAGCTTTATATTTTTGCCTTGACTTAACCATGGAATAAAGTGAAGTGCGCAGACATCTGTTAGAAAACCGCCTTATCAAAGCGCTTTTTAGAGAGATAACTTATAAGAGAAGGTTTTGAAATTGATGTCAAACCTATTAATTGCCGGCTTTCGTTGTGGACGTTCATTTTTTCAATGGTGAGATTTAAAGTTTGAAGGAGTTTACAAATATGACCAAACGGCCATCCGCATTAGAAAAAACGTCAAAGAACGCATTACGTCGGTAAATGCTTTCATGAAGTACCTTATTTTTGAAAGTGTTGACAAACATATAGAAGAGAATCTACATTTGTTTGAAAAATATTAAAAACGCAGAAGATCGTGAAGTGTTCACTGCTATTTCAAGAACGATCTGAAACATTATGCTCCAGCACCAGAAATAACTATGAAAAATTTTTACAGAAGGTAAGTTCTCTTAATATATACGGAATGTCTAAGTTCCGCAAATATTTCCATGTTACACTTGAAAAGTCAATTTGGCAAACACGTGTTTTCGATAATTCTCCGTCAGGCCAGTACAGTGGCATGAGGGAATGAAAATGTGCAAAATTAACAGTGTTTATAGGTGTCTCAAGGGCCATTAAGTAATTAACACTCATCTTCCCCACGCCGTCCGCATGACGAGATCGGCGGGTTTTGGTCCTAAGAGCTAGGGGGGGGGGGGTAAGAGAGTCATGAATATACATACTGGTGTGTTTGCGACCAAACCGGAAAATTATATTTGCATTCAGTGGTCATTGATCGGCCTGTCAGCACGTGGCCTTATAAAAACCTTTATTTCTGTGGCGTCTTTATAGGCGAAATCAAGCGAAAACCCGATTGCCTTAGACAACCGCATCTCAAGAAATGTGAGAATATAAAAAATACATCTAATTCTCCTGAAAACGCGTTGGAATCCATACTCAAACCGTAGGCTGTTATCTAACGATACTTGATAGTAGGTACACTTATTCATGAAGGACATTTACGTTTGAACTTCACTCAGGGACTATTTTCAAACGCTATTCTTCTTGTGCTGTTTTATTTACCCGGTTTTTCCCATGGACAGATTTCCTGTACATCGAAAACGTTATTCTACTCAGGTACAGCGGTTTTTGCCGTTTTCAAAATTCTTTCGCCTTCCCAAAACTTTAGCATTTTCGAATAACCCACTACTATTTTTAATATTTCTTTTATGTTTTGAGTCCGCTTAAAACAAAAGACTAAAAAGCATATATTTTCTTTTTTAAAACCTACATTAACTGCGGGGTGTCATTAGCGGCAGCGCCGGTGATAGTAGGACTAGTAATAGTAGTGGCGATAGCAACAATGGTAGGACTTATATTGGTTATGATAATAGTGGTATTTATAACGGTTGGGGTGTGGAGTGGAACACTTAGGTGCTGGTCTGGTTGCGTTATCCACCTTCGCCCTCCCCCGCCTCCGGTCTTCTTGACTCTGTCCAGATACCGGGACCGGGTGAGGGAGGAGGAGGAGGAGTTCGTTAGATGCTGTGCAAGTCTACTACCACTACAAACTAATTCATGCACAAGCTACCATGCTGTTCCCACCTCGCTGTGGAGCACACGGTGGACACCGTCGCGCACCACCGCCCAACTGTCGTTTGTAGCGGTAATGGTGGCATCAGCAAAAGTACTTGTGGTAATAGTAACAGTGATGTTTACGGTGACGGTGGGAGCAATAGTATTCTCTGTTGCCGTAGTAGAATCAGTGGTAATATCATTAATAATGGCGGTAGTAATGATATTAATGGTGGTGGTGGTGGTGGTTGTGGTGGTGGTGGTGGTGGTGGTGGTGGTGGTGGTGGTGGTGGTGGTGGTGGTGGTGGTGCTAGTAGCAGTAGCAATAATAATAATATTAACACTAGTGGCCATGATAGTGGGGTTTGTTGTAGGAGTGGTAAAGGAGAAAGATTCATGAGTAGCGGTGATTGCGGTTGTCGTTGGTGTAGAAGTACTAATAGTCGTAATTGTAGAAGCAGTAGCGGTAGTAGCCGTAACAGTAGTAGTAGTAGTAGTAGTAGTAGTAGTAGCGATTAAATGTTACTGTCACTTATCTTCTGCAACCTCTCCCTTGGATGCAAGATCACCTGTATTTTAGGGGGTCTATTAGAAATAATAGTGAACACTATCCCAGGACCCTTAGAGTCTCGTTTTAAAACGTCGGCATGTGCTCAAACTGGACTACGTTCATGCACTTCCGCAGATATTGCGCACACATCATAGGCTTTTCAAGTAAGATAACTGTGAAAAATCAGAAATTCTTTAGAGTGCTCCTACTCATCAAAGTGCCAAACGTTATCGCCGGTCCAAATATTACAAAGTAGACGAGGAAAATGCTGCCAAACACCAGTCCGATGTTCGGCTTCGTGAAAGCGTCCGCAAAATCACTGGCAAAACGACGGCCCACCGCACAGGTTCCTTTGACAACGTCGCGCATCGGAGGCCAGACAGTGTGCAAGCAGCGTTTTGCTGTGAAGTGCTCAGTCTTCACCGGCTCCTCGTGTTCAGGCACTTCAGTGGAGTCCTCCGAAACTTGCCTCAGGGCTGTATCTAAATCTGGATTAAACATATATCAGTCTGCGAGGTTCCGAAGGGGGACACACTGCAAAATATAAATGTAGAGGTAAAATGAATTTTTGGTTACGGGAGGGGACAGCTTAATAACGAGGAGAGTTAGCGGGACAGTGAAAATTCTGACTGTCCTACAAACTTCAGCGTAAATCGGACAAACACCTGTCACTCCTCGTCCATCGAAGATTCATCGCAAACCAAATAAGATTATCTGCAGCCCTCAATATACAATGAACCAAAGTAATCAGACTGTTTTTTGTGAATCTCTTTATTCGGATAGCATCTTTTCCTCCGAAGTTACGGAGACTGGAAACGGAATGGAGTCCCAGCTTAAGTCGAAAGAAAAACGCGACTACACATGTCACAACAGGCCGGGCAGGCCGCGAAATTTACGCGTGATGTCAGCTAGCCAATCAACGTGCGGCGCATCATCGAGCCAATGGGATGCCTTGACCCACGTGCACAGCTCCCCCAATGGCCGGCCGCTAATTCGAGCTTTTATCAGAGGGGTTTTCGCGCAAGAAACAGCCAGTGCCCACCAGAGACTAGAATGTTCTAGAACCGTTAGAACCATTAGACAAGGCGAGCATGAGCGAGTTGAATATCGAGTTGCTCAGGCGGGCAGAGTTAGGGGTTGCTTTATAGACTTATGCCTTGGAGTTTGCGTCTTTTTCGCAGGCCGGACCCGAAAAACAGATGGGCCATCTCTGATTTATAAGTCATCTGTACTCCCAAAGATTATTTTAAACGCAACCTGTGTTTTTCGATACCGAAGGATACCCCTCCAGCCGATGTAAACTTTCATACCTCAAACAAAACATAGGAATGGGAAATTAATTTTGCGCATTTCTTTTTAGAAATGTAACAGGTGAAAATGCACACATGTGAATTAGTGGCCGTTCATCTAAGTGATTTTTAAAAGGAAGAATGAAAGTTTATCCAACCAAGAGCTAGTATTACCACATGAGCATCCTACCTTCGAATTATGCCACAGAGTAAATCAGCACTATAACCTCCATACAGGACTCCGTTCCATCATATTCCACATTTTTAGATTTCGAGGAATATTTTGGTAAATACCTTTCTATCAAATATTTGACGACTAAAGTGAAAAGGTGGGAAACTGAACAGAACGGCTTGTGGTCTTCACAATTCATGGAAGTTAACCTGCAGACCCGGAGTTTAGGAATTGGGACCTGCTGAATCCCAGGCACTTAGAACAACTGGCCTGTTGTAATTCACAGTAAGATTTCATGCTTCACTGTCCACAGTTGACTTTGTTGGCCTTGGTAACTCCTGAAATGTTCATTCTGCAGGTATGTGCTAAAGCATTACGACTGAGGCGGCCGCCGTAGCCTGACTACAACACATTTCCAGACTATATCTCTCGGCAGTCGCACGCATATACCGCACACCTTAAAGCGTTATTGACCAAGGTCGGTCGGAGCATCGCGTTATCGCTCCCCACCAGTCTGCTAAGGGCTCAGTCTCAATAACGACAGCCCCCTATTGTAGTGCGTTGAAATCGAGGCCGCTTCCTAAGAACAGTTTATGAGTACGTCCTATTTACTTCCGTCCCTGTTTTCAGCTCATGTACAGTGGGTGACGGATCTCACGAAATGTTGGCTGAAATTCTGAAATGAGTTTCCGATTCGGAAGGATTACTTGGGCGCGGTTGTAATACCGATTATCTGCGGCATAATCTTATAACATTTCGAACTCGGCAGGATGTCAGCTTTTGAATACACTGCTATTCAATCTCCTGTAGAAACCGTATTCGGTAAAAAAATGACTACTTAAGTAGCATGCATTTTTCTCATTAATGTTCGAGGGCCTTGCAAATTCAAATATATCTTATAGAAACCATGGACAAAAATATGCCTTCTTTCAGTAGTTTGATAGAGAATCACGTCTTCTTTATATTTCATACTCAAGGAGGGAGTATAATTAGGGTTTAAAAAGGTTTTCTAGTTACCGAATAATTTGGAGCCTGATTATTCGTTGCATTAGCGCTTAGTGATTTCAGCCTACAAGGTACATGCGCTCCTCGTTAAGAAAGTCAAATATTTTTCTATGCCATTAAAAAGATATCATACATTTTAAGTCCTATATACTTCCCAAATAGTTCTTCCTGCACAAAAAATCAGGCTCAAAACCAGACACCACTCCTATTTCCTTTTGTCCTCAGTCGATCGCCGGTGTAGAAAACAGACTGTTGTAAATGAACTTTACTCTGGAACAAAATTGTCCAATTTTTGTACTTACTCGCTTCACTGAGGATAATGGCAATTTCCTTATGCGGCACGACAGTAGGAAAAGGGACGACCGTTCTTCTTTGTCTTGGCATTACGACTGTCTTTGAGAGGTACACATCAATTGCATTCAAGAGATCATCCGAAGAAGTTGCGGCTTCGCAAGTCAACTGGAAGTCCTTTAGAAGAAACAAGGTGGACTTTTTAAAAGGAAACCCTAGAAATCAAGACCCGTGTTTTTACACGACGCCGAATCTCGGTTCTGTTCGGCAAAGTTACTTGACGTAACTAGACATCATCTTGACACGGACAACGGAGACAGGAATGACGTTCTTCTGGCTTACTAGGCATCGTTAGGTGGTTATACTCAACTGCAGTTCTGAATGACTCATGAATCGAACCCGGACTCTTTGAACAATGTGAGTTGGGGGATCTAAGTCTCCACCATTAAGCAAAGGGTCCGTTGTCATGTCTTTGGGCCGAGCGCCAGGGATTTATGCCCCGAGATTTGGTATGGCTAGCTGACGACGGTTAATAATCCAGAAGTGAGCTTTCCAGTCTCCCTTGTCATTGTCGGCAATCCTATCCTGCTTAAATTAGGCGCCGCTATGCGAATGCTGACGGGACTTGGGAGAGAGTGCCACAAGGCGCAACGGGATGAGTAAATTCCGTAACGCGATCGATGAGGACCTCTCTAACGTCGCCGAGTTTTTCACAGGAGCGTCAAGATAAAAGACAAGGAAGCCTGAGATCCCCATAGTACTTCAAAGGTAAATGACGCCTCTCCAGCTCAATGTTTTTGAAACAGATTGCAGCATACTGCCTTTGGAGACGACTCAATTCTGTTTGTGTTCCTTAATCTGTAGATTTGACCATCGAACAAACCGGTGCAAGCGTGGTTTTCTCTCGCAGTAACAAAAGCACGCCAGTGGTTAGAAGGCGAGGAGATAATGGCTACTCTGCAAAAAGTATATTAGCGTGAGGCATCTACTCCCGTGTTCTGATCGTAACCTAAACTCTTTTCGCCTAGAGCCGCCTGTGCTGCTGGAGGCTCCTATTCCCCTCTCCTAACGTTTTTTAAAAGCGCTTTAACATACAGTTCGAAACAAATGATGAAAATTTGAAAATACCGAAGGTGTGCTAACTCATGAAATGTTAACCGAAATTCTGAAATGTGCTTTCGTTTCGAAAATATCACCTAACTAGGAAGTCAAAACTAATATTCACGCAACATAAATATATAATAAGCCAATTACCTCGGAATGCCGGCTTTCAAACGAACATCTTTCCGGCCGCATGCAAAAACCATACTCTACAAAAATGGCTGCTTAAGTAGCATGCATTTTTCTCACTGGTGTTCGGGACTCTTAAAAATTAAATTATATTCCATAGAAAACATGCATAAAAATATTCATTCTTTTACACATTCGATAGAAAATTACGTCTTGTTTCAATTCTATACTCGAAGGAAGGGTATAATTCGGCTTTAAAAAAGTTTCTAATTGTGAAGTTTTTTAACACCATGAAATGGTCGTTCATAAAACGCCGTTTTTGCAATAGCCAGTGTGGCTTGTGAAGCTGACAATATGGTTCAAATTCATTGCTAAATTTTATGAACTTTATATGATGTCCTCTTAATACCTAAGAGAAATGTATGGCTTTCCATACGCAGAAATTGTATGGTTTATAGTTTTTTAACCCTGACTGCAAGTGTAACGGCAAGTTGGGTTCAAAATTATTCGGAAATCGTAAAAGTCTTTGAGAACCGAATGATACCCTTCCTTCGAGAATAAAATTGAAACAAGACGTAATTTTCAATCGAATGCGTAAAAAATGCATATTGTTCTGCATGTTTCCCACGGAATGTAATTGAATGTTTAAGGGCATCGAAAATCAATGAGAAAAATGACATGCTAACTAAGTGGTCATTTTTACAGACTGTGGTTTTTGCATGCGGCCGGAAAGATGATCGTTCGAAAGTCAGCAACCAGAGGTAGCTGAATTATTATAGAATCACGCCGCGTGATGATTAATTTTAAAACCCTACTCGAGTGATCTTTTCGAAGCGAAAAACACATTTCAGAATTTCGGTTAGCATTTTATGAGTTAACACACCTACTGTATATGTAGTTACTTACCCAGTCATCATGCATCAGCTTAAAAAAGAATGTTACCCTTTATGCTAACTAGTTCTGACACTATAATAGACAAAGGACTGACTACGGAAAACGATCAATCGCGAACCAGTTTCCAGTGCAATTGCTGATTAATTGTATTAAGTGTGTGGTTTAAAGTGTTTCGATGAGGCAATCTGCCTATTTGCTATTTGAAGATTCTGATTTCCCCAATACCGGGGAATGTGTAGGTGGTTGTCCGAATTTCAGAATTGTTCGGCAGTCTTTATCCAATGCTGGGATATAAACTGAACATCCATCGGCATTTAGCGGATACCTGACAGAGTATAAGAGCATGCGTGGATCGCTGAAAGGGACTAATCGTACTATTGTCGTTTTGTATAGCTTGGTTGGCGCTACCTTTACAAAATATAAGCCTGCCAATTTAAGTGACTTACTGTAATAAGTGGCATTCAACAGGTCGGAAATTCATTTAGATCTCCTCGGATTCAATGCCCTGACAATGGAGAGGCGACAAAGCTCGCCGAAATGTCACCAACACAATGAATCTGTTTCAGTTACCCATCCCCTCAACTCAAATTTACACTTCTGACCCACTAACTTTGCGCCCGAAGCATGGATCCACAATCGGAGGTTTAAAGCACACAGCATAGTAGCGTATAAACTGCCTAAAAAAATATTTGAGGGATATGTTGGGACATGAGAAGGTCGATAAGACCACTGGAGCAGATTCATATCTTGTGAGAAACCTTGGCAGTTTGGTCTGCCAGGGGCGTTCGAAGATTGCTGAAAGAAAGAAAATTAACATCCTATTTTGTAGTCCACCTCCCAGTGAATCGTCCTCAAGTTGTAGAATTTTCTCATTTGCTTCCTGGCCAATCACCGGCGTCAGCCCACTCGCCTTTCCAACTGTCCAATCAGATTCAAGGTCGGGTCGGACATGTGCGGGCTTAAGCCGCCTCGAGGAATTCCCTGACTCAAACTCAGGGCGCCAACTCCCCCAAATCCTTTCTTCAGTTGTTCTGTACGGAATATGCAATCCTCCCGACTGGCGTCCGCCTTTTCTTTACATTCAGGACCGGGCCTGAAGGTCGTGGTAGCCAGGACCTCAATATCGGTATCGGCTTCTGTGATAAACCCGTATAGCCGATAACTGGGTCCGCACATGATGTTTATGGTTGGTTATACTGGCATTGTCTAATTGGACCGATCGATGATCGCGTCAAGAGTCCAGTTTTAGTGTGTCTCATGTCTCCATCCGGGGATTCATATTTCCTCCGATCAGTAGAAACACAAGCTCAAGATTATGATGCCGATGGGAGACTGGAAACCTTTGTGGCAGCTACTTATGAAGAATACGCTAACCTTTCTTAGAGTCCTAAGTCATGAGAGCCCATTGTAGCTTCAATAATTGACATTTGTGTACAGGACCCCCGCCTCCAAGTCCAGACACTACTTAAATTCAGCATGAGTAATCGAACAGACGGTAGGGGTCCGAAAATGCGAAATTGTTTTTTTGAGAGTGTTAGTGATACGGCATAATCTAATCTTGTGAGAGGGCGGAAATCTGCATTGGGACGGTTGATGGAATGAGGCCAACTGTTCACCGCAAAAGCTCGTGTAACTCTAGAAAATAAATGTAATTCGGTTCCTGAAAGCCTCTACCCCCTCCCCCTAAACTGATTATACTAAAAGCGCCTCAGTGTGAGAAAAGAACATAAAGCAAATTCTACAAACCTTATCATTCAAGAAGATGCCAAAGGTGTGTGCGACCTCGAGCATCCGGAGGTAGTTCGACTTCCTCGGAGTCAAAGCCAGGATGACAAGCCGTAGGGGGTAGGGCACCTCTACAACGCCAACGGGATCCATCTTGTTCTCCAGTTGGGCAAGAATTAAAATGTCGTAGGGCAGAAGCGGCAGCACACCAGTCATTATGCAGCAGGACTTTGTGTCCTCCGCGCAGCAGGCCGCTATGTGTTCGTTGATGGGCCTCCGCTAAGCACACGAAAAAGAACCTCCATGAGCCGCAGATATGATGCGGTCTGGCGGGGGGAGAGGCATGGTTCTCACATGCTTTACTGAATATTATTTCGAAAAACGACCTATTTACTGTTTTATACTTGAGCTACCCGAAACCTGAAAGGTAATACTTGAGACAAATGCATTTCCGAGGGAACCACTGACGAACGCAAGTCTCGAAGATGAAATCTACATGAAAGGCTTATAATTTTTGGTAGAGGGGCGCTCACCGATAGCTTTTACGGAACTCACTCGTCCCGCTGTGCCTTACGGGCTTTCTCTCGAGCCCAACCAGTAGCCACACACTGCAGTGTTGGACTTCCAACTAACAGGTCGCGAGTTCGAGCCCCAGGTGTTCCACACTTCTGGACTGGGTATGACTGGCTGACGACTGCGAATAAGCCAGAAATGGCCATTCCAGTCTCCCCTGTCTTTGCCGGCAATTCCATTCTGATTTATCCATAAGTAGGCTCCTTAGTTCGACATTTTGCGGATACCTTTTAAGCACGTTGGTATAAACAAGTTAATTGGGGTTGAGTAGTTCATATTGATCCAACTGTGAAAAACTCGGCGCCTCGGTGGGATTCGAACCCACGCAGTAAGAGGAAGGCTTTAGTGCAGCCAACGCTCTAACCACTTGAGCTACGAGACCCCGCCGGACGACGCGAGTATAATCACATTTGGGTCAAGTTACCCGCCCAGTCTACCGCAACGTCTGGAATCCACCAACTATGATACAGTAAGTTGAGTTCTCGGACAGGACTTCCTAAGTACTTCAACTAGAATCCGCCTGGGGCCTCGTAGCGCAAGTGGTTAGAGCGTTGGCTGTACTAAAGCCTTCTCCTTACTGCGTGGGTTCGGATCCCACCGAGGCGCCGAGTTTTTCACAGTTGGATCAGTATGAATTATTCGAAATCTGCCAAAACATATATGAACGCAAGGCAGCTACGGACAAAGCTGTGGACTGGCCCAGGACTATTTCATCTCCTGTGTGAGCTGAAGTGCCGAATCACCGGTTCATTTTTGCACAGCTGTGGTCGGGAATATGGCTGGTGACCCTGGGTGGGACAGTCAATGCGATAATCGTATTGCAAAATGAAAAACGGGACTTCTGTCTTATATTTGTACCTCCAGGCGCGAGCATTCAACGGTCGTAAAGTTGTTGAAAAAAAAACAAGAATGCGTTAATATTCACCTGAGACTTAGTTTGCGGCTTTCAAACGGAAGGTCGACAACCGCTTACTGAAATGCGTGTCGAGGAACTGGTGGATTCTTCAGTAAAGTGATGAAAATTCGGAGTTAAGAGGCCTTAGCCCGAACCAGTCTTCTAATGCGTTAGCTCAGCAATTTTTTATTCGTTTGCCTTGGAGTCAATCGTTCCTGTTAGGTCCCCATACCTCCTCCCACTGAAATCTCACCTAACAGCAGATAGCCACCTGATTATTTCCTGCAAGACGTCTTGGTCTTATCCAGCAGTCTTCAATCTAACAATATGCTATCGTCTTACTTTCATTTCTTATTATAGAGCTGGCTTGATAAAACATTAGACTGAAAATGCGAGCGTATCCCTCGTATTCAACCTTCTTCTGAATACGCTATTCCAAAACTTCTAGGCGTTCTGGTCAATTTCAAACACATTCTTCCCTACGTTTTATTCTGTAGTAATGAACTTGACGTCAACCGCTACCATCTCATCTATCTACAGCACGTTTTGGTAATCTTTCTGCATACCCTAATGGCATAGTTTGAAATAACCCCAGGGCGTCTTAAATGACGCGCTATTTCCCAAAAAGGCCTAAATAAACGTGATCAACGCATGCGCATTTTAAAATGTAGCCGAATATGTGGCAGGTACATTTTTGTTAAAATAATCATAGGCCTCGTTATTCTGAACACGTCAGAGGAAAATGCGATATTTTTTTTATTTTGCAACTGTCCTGCATTTGTATATCGTTGAGAGAGAGCGTTCAATAGAAGCAAAGAGACGAGTCCCAGGAAGTACTCTTGAAGAAGGAGACACGATCGCTGGGACAAGAGCTTTATTAGCCTGACGTTTCGGATTCCTCCTCGAACCCATAATCAGAGACAAAAACAGATACGGGTGGTTCATGCACAAGGGGCTACAGTATTTATAGGATGCAGTCGCCATGCTACCACATACCTATGAACATTCACGACGATCCCCGATGGAGGGGGGAGCCGTGAATGTTCATAGGTATGTGGTAGCATGACGACTGCATCCTATAAATACTGCAGCCCCTTGTGCATGAACCACCCATATCTGCTTTTGTCTCTGATAAGGGGTTCGAGCAGAAATCCGAAACGTCAGGCTAATAAAGCTCTTGTCCCAGCGATCATGTCTCCTTCTTCAAGAGCGTTCATCTATCAGGTTCTGGCATACCCTTCCCCCTATTTAGCCTCGGGGCCCAGTTTAGAATCTCCCATAGGCTACCCCACGGCAACAGGAACTGATAGGGGAGGAAGTATCGACAGAGGCAGGAGGGGTCATGAGGGTCGCTTCTGACGTATTTGCCGTCGTCAGCCTGTCATACCCAAGCCCAAGTTCGGATAGCCTGGACTCCAGATTCAGCTGCAAGGCACAACAGGATAATCACGTCCAGCAATATAATCGATTTATTCAACGCGCTTCTCCTTGTTATAAAAATCATTGTGCCAGAACCCAGACCTGGACGCTACTGAGCAGGCCGAGGAGCCAACCTCCGGCGTTCGCCCCTTCGGTTTTCCAACTAACCAATCAGATTCAAGGCCGAGTCAGACGTACGCCGACTTAAGACGCCGTGAGGCATTTCCTTGACTTACACTTGAGACGCCACTCTCCCAGCGCCGGAGATACCTTGGTAGTTGAATTTTTTATCGTCAGCCGCCTGCAATTGGGCCCCGGATTCGTTGTCCTGTTAATTGCGATGAGTTTACTGACACTCGGGTTCGTTTTCTGTCAAAACGCACTTTACCGTCGGTGGGTTTGTTTTGCCGGAGGGATGCTATTAGGTTATGAAGTAGGTTATAATAGGATTATAAATACTTTCAATCGTGTCAAGCGACTCGGTTTAACTTATCCATCCCAACATTGAGGGCCATGGCCCGTCAATTCTATTAGAAACGTCAAGCAGACCAAAACAAATCTGTTTTGAAAGTTGGCAGATTAGCAGGCATTTGCGTCATAATCCAGCCAGTGGACCTCCGGAACGGCATTGAGAAAGAAAGCACTTAAATTCTGCCTTCTAACGAAGGGTAGTTTGGATTATCTTGCTTCCTAACTTTTCACAACTTGTCCCAATAAGCGTTCTCACTATGAACTGCACATTCTTATATCCTGCAGCCGCGGAAATTCTGCGAAGCTCATACCCGGATCTATTACTAATATCCGTTTCGGTGGTATACTTGAGTAATTTTTCCATTAGACAGGGATTACAGCCAACACAAGTAAATATAAACAAAGTCTACTAAAACTTATCAATTCAGATAAGGCAAAATTCCCATGCGGAAGTTAACTTACATTTGCGTAGTTATGATGACCAACTAGCAAAGGGATAAAATTGCATAGTCAGTTTGCATCACTGGTAATAAAAACAAAAAGCAGCCTACTTAATTTAAATTGACCAACTCTCTTAACATGTGTCATACCTTGAAACTGCACGGAAAATCTCCGTTTTTCCACCTGTGGATGAAATCTTGGGGCCAGTAATACTTTAGCAAGTGCAGGCGTAAAAGAGAAGGGGCGTTTCTGTATAAAGCTTGCGACATCATCTGCAAGCAGTTTTGTAAACTCCTCGTAATCCGTGCAGGCATACCGCGTAAGGAGAAAGTCTGGAAAGACCCAACAGAAACGTTTTGAAGGGATAAGACTAAGAATAAATTAAGAATCCTTGAAGAGAATAACCTCACTTACAGTAGTTTGGCTCACTCATAAAATGTCAACCGAAATCCCGAAATGCGTTTCCGTGTTGAAAAGATTAATTAAGTAGGATTGTAAAACAGTGCAGCCTGCAACATAATTCTATAATAGTTCAGTTACCTCAGGATTACAGCTTCCGAAAGAACTTCCTTCCGGATGCATACAAAAAGCATACTTTGTAAAAAATGACTACCTAATCAGCATACATTTTTCTCTTTGATTTTCGATGCCCCTAAATGTCCAATTATATTTCATGGAAAACATGCACATACTATTCATTCTTCCGCTCATTCGGTAGAAAATTACGTCGTCTTTCAATTTTATACTCAGAGGAAGGGTATAATTCGGTTTTAAAAAGTTTCTAATTGTGAGACTTTATAATACCGTGAAATGGCCCTTCATAAAACGTCATGTCTCTGTATTTACCAATGTGGCTTGTAAAGTTAACAATATGGATCAGATCCAACGCTAGACTTTATGAACTCCATATGGTCTCCTCTAAATACCGTAGAGAAATGTGTGGTTTTCCGTACTCGGAAAATACATGGCTTGTAGTATAGAAACCCTGAATGCAAGTGTGACGGCAGAGTGTGTCCAAAATTACTCAGGAATTCGAAAAGTTTTTGAAAACCGAATAATACCCTTCCGTCGAGTGTAAAATTGGAAGGAGACGTAAATTTCTACCGAATGTTTGGGAGAATGACTATTTGTATACATTTTTCCGTGAAATATGATTGGGCTTTTAGGGGCACCGAAAGTCAATGAGAAAAATGCATGCTACTTAAGTAGTCATTTTTTACAGAGTATAGTTTTTGCATGCAGCCGAAAGGAAGTTCTTTCGAAAGCCGGCATCCTGAGGCAACTGAATTATTATAGAATTATGTTGCAGTCTGACTAGTTGCGCAATCCTACTTAATTAATCTTTTCGAAACAGAAACGCGTTCCGGAATTTGGGTTGACACTTAAAGAGTTAGCCCACCCACTGTCCGTCCAAGAATAGAAGGTATCGAAAAAACGGCACACCGGCTGGAAACTGACTTCAGAAGCGTTTTGTCGAACTGCGCTGATTCGGTTTTCACAGGATCACTTGACTGAGGTCACATGCCGCAGATAATGTTTCAGAAGAAAATTTTCTTCGGCTCTAACGCAACACGGGTTACAGAAGGTGCAATAAGAGGCACTTTCACAGTACGCTCTACTAAGCTGACATACCAGTCAGGGGATGCCGGTTGAATGAGTATAATTTGACCTTACAAAAATCTAAATAGGAATGTGGATTCACTTTCTTCGGCTGGCATTTGGAATTGCAAAATTTTTTGCCGTACATTTCAACCTCTAAAACTTTCCCATCCAGGGTTTTTCACTTTCACAGTGAAATTCTCGCAGCGGAATTGGGTCCAGTTTGACCGGTGTTAATTCTGCTATGTCAAAGCAAACTAAACAGATATTGCAGATAAGTAATCGTGTCGCCACTAAGACACGCGACAGCGAGCAAAATTTTTGAATAATCATCACGTCAACATCCAACACGGATGATGAAATTGCGGCAATCAACGACTCGGAGGCGGACTGACGAGCCATCATCGCCTTAATTACGACCCCCAGCGGTGATCACGAGAGTTGTTAATTCTAATACGCATGTGGCCTCACGACAGCTACGTACCATAACTACTGCAGTCTTTTTGCCTCCACTACCTTTATCTGCAGCCGTCTCTGATGATGGGTTCGAGTGAGAATCCGAAACGTCAGGCTAATAAACTCCCTGTTTCAGTGATTGCATCCTCTTATTCCTCTGAGTAGAGAGTGCTTCAAATGCAGTCAGTAGATATGCCACAGAGGCCGCATTGGAGTGAAGGTGGGGCCAGCGTTCTGGCACTGAACGGGGACAGAAGTGCAGCCAAGTTCTTATCAGCTGAGAGGCTGGCATTTATGAGAAGCGGCCACAAGTAACTAGCCAACCTTCCAGCCGGCCTGACCAAGTCTCCTTCGAATCATGATGGGAGCTGGAGTGGAGGGCGAATCCGATTTGGCGTGCGATTTCCGCATTATGAAACCAACTTACCGCACCGATAAATTTACAGGATGTTTAAAAAGTCCCGATTTTGAGGTCAGTCACCAAGTCGGACAAACTGGTCCTCAACACTAGCAGTCAGGTTCTGGTGTATCCTTTCAAGGTGGCTTTAATGGCCGCTGTTACCGATATTATATACAAGTCTGTACATTTTTATCCTATCATTTATGGAACCGGAAGGTGGTCTGCACACGCATGGGTTTGGCGCGAATAACGAACCGGCCACCGCTCTCAAGCATACAGCTCTAGCAGTCTACATATAGTCTTGTTCTCGAACCTAGACCGATGAAGTAGCATAAGCCGAGTTTGTTGACGCACAAACCATCACTGCTATCCCGGATGTTTATGAGTCCTATCGATCATGACAAAACAAGGTGATTAATCATCACAGCATGCCACCCAGCTTAACGTCGTGTGAAGCAAATATTCAACTTTTTAAGCTAAAGAAGACTTGACCCATTTGAAAAAAAAACAATTTTTTCTGGCGTCAGGCGAACATTAGCCTACGCACAGTTTCTGCCCGAGCCCATGAGCTTTTCATAAAAACATTTAATTGCGCGTTTAATTAGTTGATGTTTACCGTGGCGTTTTTCTGTGTCAAATGGGTTTCCTACCAGTTATAAGTGGAATAAGGACGACGCACGCTAATCTCCTAGACTGTAGCGTTAATCACAAAATAATTGTTGTCGAGATGCAGAATTGATTATCCGGAAACCTGAGCGTAACTTAGCGGAGGAAATGAATCAAACAAACTAGCCTCCTGAGTGTGGGTCAACATTCTGTTACCAAACAAGAATCAAAGTGCAGCCCAGTCATTATCAACTGAGAGACTGACACGGACGTAAAGTGGGTACAAATGACTAGGTAACCTTTTGGCCGACTTGACCTAGTCTTCTCCCAGTCATGATAGGAGCTGAAAGGAAGGGCGAATCCGATTTGACGCGCTATTTCCGCCCTATAAGATCGGCCTACCGCACCGATACATCCACATGATGCCTAAAAAGTCTCGATTTTGAGGTCAGCCAACAAGAGAGACCAACCGGCCCTTAACACTGGCAGTCAGGCCACGGTGTATTATTTCGAAGGGCTTAGATGACAGCTGTTTAGGGTATTATACCCAAGACTGTACATTTTTATCCTGTCATTTATGGAACCGGTAGGCGGTTTGCACACGCATGGGTTAGGCGCGAATGACCAGCAAGCCACTGCTCTCAAGCACGACTCTAGTAGTCTAGACTTAACCTTGTTGTTAAAACTAGACCGGCGCGGTAACAAAAAATGAATTCACCTCAGCACATATCAGTATTGCACTCACGGGCAGCTATGTTTGCTTGTTCCGTCATTGCAGGTTTGTCAATAAATAAAAAAGATTAATCTTCACAGCATGCCGCCTAATTTAACCTCAAGTGGAGGATTATCTTAAGTAAAATATCTGCTAGAGCTCATGAGATTTTCACCGACATGTTTAAATGCGTCTTTAATTAGAAAATATTTTCGGGACCTCCGTCTGCGTCAAGTGAATTTTCTCTCAGCTATAAGCGGAATCACTCATCTTAACCTCTATGGATTAAAATACGCTGGGCTGTGACGTTAATCACAAAATAACTATTGCTTGACTGCAAGACTGGTTCTCCAACAGCAGGAACGAAATTTGGTTGAAAAGATGGATCGAACAAACAAACGTCCTGGGTGTGGGTCAACATTGTGTTGCCAGCCAAGGACCACAGGACGACCAAGTTTCTGATCAATTGATTGACGCATGCGTGAAGTGGTTATAAATAACTGCCCAACTATAGAGATACAGCAATGTTATCAGTCAGATTGTGGTTTATCATTATAAGGAGATCTTAATGCCAGCCGTTAAGAATATTATATTTAGTTTTTTGAAAATGTGTCCTTCCATCTAGAAAATCGGTGTGTGCACTTATGGCGTAGACATTAATTCCCAGTCAGCCACTATGCCCAAGCACAAATCCAGTAATCTCGTTCTTTAACTCGAATTGTGTAGTGGCGGAAACTCGGTCTGACGCAAGAGTCAGTTTCCCCCTCACCTACAGCTAGGAGACATTCTCTGTGGCGTTCGTTTACTTAAACTATGCCTCCTCCAGGCTAAAAGCTGGAAAAGGGGGACTATCTGTCAACCATCCTGGATTTGAACACCTTGGTCTGTCAGGTTAATCAGAAAATAATTATTGTCCGTCTGCGGGATGGATCCCTCAAGAAAATGAACGGAAGTTAGCGGGGTAGTTGAGTCGAACAGACCAGTGTTCCTATTGCAGTAAGAGCGATACGCCCTTCCCACCTCTGTGTTTGGGGCTGCGACAGCGTTGCTCTCAACCACAAATGCTGACAACAAAGTGGTATGCACTTTGGCGGGGAATCTAAGTCAGACGCGGCTAGCCTTGAGCATCCTTCCAGGCCATATTGCAATCATGTGATATAAAGACGCTACGCCTTTTGTGGTAGTAGTAGTATTCAGAATTCTGTGCCTTCTCGACGTTCCCCACCTGCCTGTCTGCTAAATTGCAGGATTTTCCTTTAGTGAACTGCTGCAGGCCTTCGGTGGGATTAGTGTAGGCAACTGCCTGTCACTCGAAATATGCTGGTTTGTATCGATTTATAATCGAAGTATGATTACGACGGTAATTCGCACGAAACAAACTCAGCCAATAATTCGCATCAGCTGATGGGGATTTTTTCTGAGCACGGGCTGATCGTCTGTGTGAATCACATTTGGAAAAACCCACTGTGTAATATGTATCAAAACAAATTTGGAGCGGGAAGGGAAAAATGTTTTCGTTTATTTTTACATCTTCTATATTGTTCTATTTATCGTAACAATGTTACAAAGTTTCCGTTGTGTAGGAAAATACCCGTTCTTCAAGCTTTGTGCTGAAGGGAGTGTCGTTTTAGTTAACATTTCTAATAAATGCGCGAACTCTTTCAGACCTTCCGGATTTTCACTTAAAAAGATCACTACTACCATATTCATGTTATACAACACAGCCCTTACTAAGCAGGCATAATTGATGAGTTTTTAACGCGTTTAAAATCCAGAGGATTAATATACGCCCCGGTTTTCTTTAAAGTCAGGAGGAATTATTAAACATGAAATAAATATAGACTAAACTCTCCGTTATATTCAAGATCTAAGGACTCAGTCTACCACAAAAATCTGGTGCAGGTGAGCATTGGCGAGGTAGTACGTTCTCCTGAATATAATTCACATGGGTGACCTAAATTAAGCTAGGTATATTCTATGTATAGAATTAATCTAGGTCTACAAATCCAAGTTTCAACGTCAGCTGAAACTATCAAGGGCACTACGGACTTCATCAGATTTGTAAACAGACTTCAAACTCAGACCGAGAGGGAAGACCTTGTCTGTAACTTAGCGTTCAGTTAGGTTGCTGATTTTAGTTTCCTCAAAAAGGTCCCCTGAAGGACATTCACTTCGGCCTCCCGGGACAAAAAATAAATCCGATAAAATGATGGTCGCGTTTGACACGACCATGCTTTTCTTCTTCACTCTGTCAGAGATGGCTGTTGAGGCACTGCGTGGGTGACTTGCGGCGTCTATGAAGGGGACTAACGTTATGCTACACTGTAAACATTTGCCATTTTTACATAGTGGATCGTTCATCCCTTCCTCAGTCGAAGAGAATGACCATCGGCGAGGGGAACTGGACACTCAGATCTGTAGGGTAGTATTTTGGCATGCCCGTGTGTGTGTGTGCAGTATTTATGACCATCTAAGATTATACTATACGCACTTATCATGATTCACCTTGGTAAAACAGCGACTACCTGCCGATTCACAGCATAAACTGGCGAGTACAGTAAAACTGCAGCCTAAAAGAAGCAAAAATGAGCAAGGCGTGCTCTGACAGCCTTCGACAGTTCGTGAGAAAATCAGCTGCGCAAAAATAAAACACCTCATTTTTGCGAAGAGTCGTCATCTCTCGTAACACGAAGGGTAATCAAGACATGAAAAACAACGGAGCAAAAGCACTCAGAAGACCAAAAAAATCAGGAACAGGAATGATTTTCAGGAGGAGTGATAAAACTTCATAATTGATGAAAAATGTATGGGTGCACGTTGTACGTGAGTTTTAGAGAATCTTCTCCAGGACTTTTCTGTAGTTTGTTTCAAAGATAAAGGTTATCTCAGAATTGTGTATGTCCTTGCTCTTATAGGAACAAGGTTTTTGTCAGACTACTTCAAGGCCAAAACTAATTAGGGAGCCTGTTTTTGTTAAATATAGTTGATGCCCTAGTTGGTTTTCCATATGGTGTTTTGTGAGGATAAGTAGAGCAATCGACAGCGGTGATGTAAAAGTTGCCTCTACTTTTGAAATTCATTGACATGGCGAAAATTAACAGACGGTAAATGCAACTGCTCTACCGCACTGTAAGTCCATTATGTTACTGAAATCCGGACTGATAACTTCAGATATTTAAATTGTAAAGGGCCTTAGACGCAGGCCTTGCCAGCTTACTTTGTCTAAGCTGAGTCTGAAACTTGCAGATGGCCCGATAGTCCAGTCGGGTAATCTCAGCTGGACTGAATTCGCCAATCACGTGGTCATACATCTCCTCCAACTCCACCCAACGGTAGAGTTCACGCCAGTACATCTTCTCACGGCCGATTTTATCGCTGACGAAAGTGGCATGCGGTGGCACTTTTCGGTTCACCAGCTCACAGAGTTCAATAAAGAAGTCCGGTTTCGGCGTCGGGCTGTCCTCCGGACTGTGGACACGGGCAGCGACTGAAAATGTGTGCAGAGAATTGCAGAAGTTTCTAATACACATACGCAAATGTCCAGAAAAAAGTGTTTCACTTCATTTTAAAATGACTTTAATTAATCCCCAGAGCTAATGAGTTCAGGGGG